ATCACTATTGAATGGGTTAGATGACACAGAGGTGTAGGTTCTCGGTGTAGGCGTCATTTCATATTGCTGGTTACTTTCATCTTGAGGGTAAACGATAAACGGGTTGGATCTGATAGAGTGTCCGTGCCTCTGATTAGGCCTGCGTTCATCATTTACGTTAAAGTGGACGCTAAACGGGTTGGATCCCGTAGACCTCTCGTACCTCTGGCTACCGTTGTGTTCATCATTTGCATCGCTGCGAAGACTGAACGGGTTTGATGCCAAAGAGCTTTCATTCCCTCTGCTAGCGTTGCGAACTTCAGACACGTTAGAGCGAGTATTCAATGGATTGTTAAGAGGCTCCACAGTAAAGAGGCCAGAATTTCTCAGAGTCATCACGGCATCGGCTATGYGRTCAGTCTCACCATCAGAAAACGTGCTTTTCGCGTCGTCAGTCATAACCAGAATTTGATGAGCTAGCTTACAACTTATAAATGACTAGTACACTAATGAAAAAAACTTATAAATGAATAGTACACTAATGAAAAATCTAACGCACCTATAAATGAAAAGGATTGAAATAGTGTACAAATGATAATAGCAAACAAACAATAATAAACAATACAATGGATAATGGATAAACAAAACAACGCTAATAAAATAGCCAAAATATGAAAAATACATACCCTAAATAATATTGAAAAGTTATATACGTAGAAATTGTTCACGACGGAACTTTATCGCTATAGATTAATTGTTGACATTACTTATTGTAATTATTTCTATTCTTGTTTATCGTTTATGGGCTACCTGTGTTGTGCCCGGGCCCACTCGGTCATGTGGGTATGTTGTAAACATGGCGGAATTAAAGAACATGTGAGTTGTATTTGGTTGTTCGATTCGTGGGTTTAATCCCGTCCTCGGGGCCATCCGACCCAAATCCTCAACAATCCGAAGAGCCGGCACATTAATTATGTACTGTAAATGTGAACCTGGATAATAAAACACTGACACAGTCACTCGCCCAGCCCCAAACACTCCTACACTCGCAACGTGTGTGTGAAATCGCGAATCAAACCTTTCGCAGGCACGGCCAAGCCAATCCGCTGCCAATTCGTCCAGCAAATACCACAACACCTGCAAAAAGATAACTTAATTGAGAAAATAATGTTCCTTAGATCTACCGACAACAGAATATTGCTGCCACTAACTTATTAAGTTCGAGCTAAACGAATAACTATATTAACTATATTATTATGATTAATGAAATTAACTCTGTTACTAATCCCTACTATCTTAAATTGGTAAATAATAACTTAAAGAACTCCTTAGAGATC